GTACGGAGTTCAGTGTTTTAGGCTTTTAGGTTGTTTTTTTTTTTGGTTTAGCAGGATTTTATAGGACGTTCCCCTTCCTCCTCGGTAGACGTTGCGATGCTGCAAACTTCACCAAGATAGGGAACTTTGCTCATGGCCTGCCATCCACAAATGCCATTCTGTCCATAGTTTAAGAAGTGTAAGAGACACTGGCGCTGATGGCAAAATGTCAAGGCCGGGGACATAGAGCCTGATAAAAGACATGCAGAGTGGCCACGCATTGACCTGGCACCACCATACTGTAACACAGCACAGAGGGAGTAGTAAATGTTTATATAGGCCTTGGGCTTGGAGAATGACACTCTAGGCAGTTTTTGAAAGGTCGCTCATCCAGTCTGACTGAATCTGGGAATAGTCTGTTATGTTCATGATGATACATATTAATAGTAGCTTTCTTGAGGCGACAGCAGATATTGAAATCTGACGATGATGTGGTCATTCCATTAGGTCCAGAACCACTGCTCTGATGATTTTTGGTCACCACCTGGAGGTGGGTTTGGATGTAGATTATGGTTGAGTTGTTTGTATATTCACTACATGTGCTCTACATCCTACCTCTTGACCCAGCAAAAAAGCACAGGTGATCCGTGCTTTCACAATCAGGACAGGGCACTGGAGCATGGAGCAGATGATGCAAGGCCAGCTTTTTACCACCAGCGTCAAGGCGAACTCATACACCCAGGTTAGATTGGGTTCAAGAGGATAAGATTGGGGAGACGCTAAAGGTTACATACAGTCTTGAAAGTCCATAACAGCTGACGCACCAGGTTTTGCACTCCATTTTGTCAGATGCCAGTTCACCTTTTGGGGTTCCTTTCCAGAGGGATTCTAAGTAAGTCGGCTGCGGACCTGTCAGGGGTGTGGTAAAACTTCAACATTAGTTGGATTGGGGTTCGAAAACGCTCCCTAAATAACAGTGAGTCCCTTGTAAAAAGCCCAAATTACTATGAAAACACAAATCAGTTCACTCCAAAATCTACGCATTTCACAACAAGCCTAAATGTCCCTGACGTCCCAGCCCTTCAAAAAACACAACCTCATTTGGCGCATCCACGAAACAGGCTCAGGAAACAGCTACTTAACCTCCCACTTTTCTATAGCAATACATACTTCCTACGGGCACTGCACTAGTATATCTGATCAAGCGAAGAAACAAGGAGGCAGCATGTATGTGAATGCAATACATTTTCTGACAGGGCTTCTTCACAGTCAAATGATGTCTTTGTATTTGATCTCTAGATCAGGTATCATTATGCAAACCTGACTGACCTGAATGATGACAAACATACACATTAACATTTTTATATGTGACATAAAACGGGTCTAACTAAACTAAATACAAAAATAAATATATTACTCTATCAAATAATATAACAGTATTGTATTGCTGTATTTTATATTGTGTTTCTGGTATTCCTTCTAGGCTG